TTCTCTGTAACTATACACGAGAGGGCAGTAAAAGAGCTCGTTGGCTCATCATTCTTTTTTACTAACGCGAGTACTATTTTAAAATAACGGAGTAGTGTTGGTTTATGCTTTTAAGTTGGCATCAGACATGCAAGAATTCACATGAAAAAGAAAATGTAAGAATACAGAGAGAAAGAGAGAGCAAGAGATCAAGAGATATAGAGATAGAGATAGTGATAGATAGAAATAGTGATAGATAGAGATCGATAGATAAAGAGATAAATAGATAGATAGATAGATAGATAGATGGAAAGATAGATAGATAGATAAATAGATAGATAGATAGTTACAGCGAAAGAGATAGCAAAACGAATAAAGATAAGTAAATACATGGTTGATTTACACGTAGTATGTAAAATTTGTTAAATAAAATTTTTTTTTGTGATTTTCAGATATGAATGATTTAATGCTTAGCAATGTATCATTCATTGGAAGTATGATTATTATTTATTTCTTAATTTATTATTTAAATTGTAATTAATCTTAAATTAATTTAATTTCATATTTATAATAATTCTTATGATATAACGGTAAAATCTGAAAGCATTTCGATGCTTGCTTTTGTATTTTAATTAAGATGTTGCATAATTAATAAGAACATTAAAAATATGATCCAAGTTATTAAAATTTAATTAATTTGTAATAATTTCAATTTAAAATTCTTCAGGAAATAAAACAGAGAGAGAGAAATAGATACAACAATTTTGTTTAGTTTAAACTATAAAAAGTTTAATAAAAATACTTCACTTATAAACTATTCGCTTATTACCTTACATTGAAATAATAAATTCTAGTGGTATTTTTATAAGTGATAAAAACACTAAAATGAGGTGTAAGATTATTTTAATTTTAATCAATAAGAGCCTGATTTATAATAAAAAAAATATACACATAAATCTATATTTCCACACAAACAAATTCACACATACACACATGCATATATAAATACACATCGTAGATATTAGCATACGGGTTTTCCCTTGTTTTCAATTGACGATATTTTTATTTTCAATACAAATAATACTGTTTTCATTAGATACCTTGAATAATATATTTTTATACTTTCTTTATTGTTTAGACTATTTTTAAATTTTGAAGTTAGCATATTTTATAATATAGTTATAAAAATACATATATCAATTTTAGTTGGCACTAAAGTTCAGACAATTCTTACAATGTTGGAATTGTCGACAAACCAATGCATCTCACGAAAAATTATTTTATTTCAAAATAAAAATTTTATTAGTTAATTATAATAAATAATTATAATCATGCTATTTTTATATTGATTATGAAGTAAATAAACATGTCATTCATAGCATTCATAGCATTAATCATTTCCATTACATAGTTAATAATATTAAATAATAATTAATGTAATTGATTTATTAAAATTTCATTGGATGGCTTCGAATCAAGAAGTTAGTAAATTTTTAAATTATATAAATCTTTAACTAAAATAAAAATGAATAAAAATTTCGCTAATAAATGATTTAATGATTAAAAAATATAATTTTTCATAAAATTTCATAATATTGTTTAATACTTCTATCCTGTCACAACTAAAACAAACAATAGTGAAAAGTATTAATGTTTGATAATTTAAAAAACTTATTTATAAAGTCTTATAACCGTGTGATGTAATTTTAAGAATCTCATTTTTAAATATTCAACATTACAATTATAATTAATGAGATTATTAATTAAAAAAACATAAATGTCAGCGAATATTTTAATAAGCAATGTCATGCAACTGCTTTCAATTTTTAGTGGTATTTTATTTAATTTTTATACAGTACTTTTGGTTTATGTTTACACTGCAAACTATTATTTCATCACATTCCTATTTTGTTCGTAATAATATTAATTTTATACATTCTTATTTATATAAATATAGCTACATTAAATTATTTTAGTTTTAACATACAAATATCTAGTAAAATGGTTATTTAAACAATTATTACAAATTTCTACAATAAAACGGATATAAATTATAAAGAAAATGTTTATGACACTTTTTAACATATTATTAATGTATTATAAGTATATTTGAAGTAATAAAATTTGTTTTCAGATCTCATAACCTAATATTTTCATTCAATATCAATTTATTAATAATGTTTCACATAAATTCATTTTTATTTATATAAAATAGCTTGCCTTTAGTTATTGAATGATTTATAAAATGTACAGTAATATTACAAATAATTAATATTTGTATTTGAATATTTATTTAGCTTACTCTATTTATATCTACTATTCATTTTTTAGCATATATTATTAATATAATAAATATATTTAAATTATCGAATGAATTAAAAGAATATTTACGGAAAATCTATTTTACCGCATAGAGAGATCAAACTAGTATATCTTTGGGTTATAATGAGTTTATATTTGCATATATATTTATTTGTATAGTATATTTGTATATTATATAAACACATAATAATATATTTGCAAATAACAATTACTGATAACGAAAGTTATTAAGGTACTAGTTTATTTATTATTAGTTCTCTCAGTGCTACAGTAACATTATATACTGAAAGTATCATTTTACATAATATATTTTTATTTTTTGGACAATACTTTGATCATAATAAAGAATAAATAATATTATTTCTTTAGAATTTACATTATGTACATTTTTAAAATAAATTTTTATCTGTAATACTTTCACTATTATTATTATATTTTTCTACAAATCAACGAAGTTTGAAATTGAAGCTAATAGATGCTGATAGTTAAATAGATTGACAAACATGAAGATAAATAGCTAGATAGACAGACAGATAGATTAGATAAATAGATAGGCTAGAGGTATATATGTGGATAGATAGATATATATCACAAAACACAAATTTGTACTAATTTACAGTTTTATATTTTAATACTAGTCCAAGTAAATTAAAGATACTTTTGGTTGTTTATTGTATGTTTATTATTAATATAGTTACAAAAAAATTTATGAGAATATACAGATACAAATTGTTAATATTCTTTATTTGTAAAGTTTTTGATTATAGTTTGTTAAGAATTAATTCAACGAAGCCACAATATATATTATTGAAATATTCAATAGATAAAATTTTGCACTTTACATAAAAATAATTATTTTTATGTAAAAATTCTAAAGTTGATAATAATGTGTATCTTGAAAATTTGTAATGAAAATTGGGTAATATTATAATAAAAGAAGGATATAAGAATGGAGAAATGAGTAAAAATGCTAATGAAATAGGGTGCAAGAAAAACAGGAAGAAAAGAAAAGCTTAAGTATAAAGGGGTCTGAGGTAGAGTAAGAGAGACAGAGGATGAAAGAAAGAGAAAAGAGAGATGGTCACTAGGTCAAATGAACGGCATGCTCTCCTTTATCCCTCTTCCTCGTTCATTCCGTATCATTCGCATGCTTGCTCCACGATAGTCGTTCCTTCCCACTCTTAAGCCTGCCCCCTCCTTCTGCCATCGCCCCGCGATTCGCGTTCATTCTCCGGGTGAACACATGGCCCAACGTTTGTACGTAAGTCAAGCATGTGTGTCGAAGTCAGGAATACTCGCTTAATTTTGCCTTCTTTTTTTCATCTACCGATACGGCTGAGACGAAACAAAGTAGATTCGTCCTGTTAGTATGGGTATTCCGGGCACTACTTAAATTTACATTTATATAGACACTATTAACTGTTTATGTAGAAAATAAGTAGTTGTATGCATCGGTAAAGGATATTTAATGAGCAAAATACAGAATTTTATTTATAAGAGAAAATTATTGCTTTTATTGGCTGTGATTGGTACGAATTCCATATAACAAACACATAGAAAGTGACAATTACGTAGCTAAATTTGAACGAAGGTATCAGAAATCATTTAAATTGTAAGTTACATACGAGTATATAATTGAGAGTCTGTTAAGCATTAATTTTTTTTATATTAGTATAATAATTTCTAAAGCCATTTAATCTTTCAAAACATATTATGGATTAAGCAAATTTTCATTCTGAAATTGTATTTGTACATCTTTTAATTGTTAATAAATTGTATAAAAAAGGATTGAAAAGTAATAAAAAATGACTAATTATAAATTTAAATAAAATTTAAATGTAAAAGTATTATTTCTTAATTAATGTTATTGAATTAAATTTTGTTCTAGTTTCCCTTTTGAAAAATAAGATTTATGCACGGGTAATTAAATATTTGCAATTTGTTCAGTCAATCATTGCAGTAGAATGAATTTCGTCAGTTATTTTTATTTATATGAATATTTCTTTACAATATTTGATTTTTTTATATAAGTATGAAAGCATATAAGTATGTAAGTATATAAGTATATAAGTATAGAAGTATATTAAGAAGAACATTGAATTGAAAACAAATTTTATAAATATAATATAGTTTGTAATCCATAAAAAAACTACAATCATTTCAATATAATACCAATATTAGGTCAAATTTTCGAAGCTGTGAATGGAATTGAATATTAAACGAACAATGCCGGTCTTTTATGTTAGATAAACTGACTAGGGAATGCAATAAAATTAGAAAGAAGGAAATATGTATTAAAGTCTTTTGTTTCTGGCATAATGCCATGAAGTTCAATTAAATACAAAAAAACTTCATATTTTGCAGATTTTATATGTTAACTTCGATTTAGGAATTGAAAAATTCTCTTTCTCAGCTGTGCCGAACGATTAGTACATGTTTAATCTCCATGTGGTCAATTTGTAATTCTTTCTAAAATATGCCTCACATCGCTGGCTTGTCGCGCCAGCTTATAGTAGATAACCTGAATCTTCCTTTGAATAACAATAGAATAATAATAGAAAAGTAAGACGATTTTAATCAAGGATCGAAAAACCAAAGTCTCCCTTCACTGGTGGTGCATCTTCTCCAAGAGAAACATTAACTAATGTCCTTTTAAAACAGAGCGAACATTCCCGTTTCCAAGTCTGGCGCCAACTCACCTGCCGATGGCGCTCATGCCGTTGCTTTCGGGGCTTCGCGCTCCGACACCTTTTGTAACTGTCTGTCAGCTTCCTGCGCTCCGGCGGCGCGCAACGGGCTTCCCTCGCTCCTGCCGACGGCCAGTGTCATCGGCCGCCCGCACCGGCCGCGCACCCCGACGCCGCCGGCCACCGTGTGATCCGCACTCGCACGCCCTCCCGCTCCTCGACCCTCGACTTCGTTCCCCCTGGAGCTGGCCCACGATTGGACCCTCGGTTGGGCCCGGGCTGCACTCGGAGCCGCACGTGCTGTGCGCGCGAGGAGGCGCGAGTCGCTCGCGGCACGCGACGCGGATGTGGGAATGACGGCGCGCTGCTGTTAAGAACCGCGTCGGAGAGAGAGCGACGGCGGCGACTGACTGCGAAGCCGCAGGAGGCGGCTGCTGCGCGGAGATTTGGCGTCGCGCCGCCGTGGACCGGGAAGGGAGAGCGCCTGCTGCCATCCCCCCAGTCCCCCGCCGAGCCATCCCTTCCGTCCCTGTCTGTCGCTCCCCTGCCACAAGTGCTGTCCCGCCTCAATTCGATACCGTAGTGCTCTACATCGTTCTCTTTCGCTCTCGCCCTCGGCGACGAAATCAGCAGCCCCCACCAGAAGCATGCGTGCGCGCGCGCGCACCTTCCCCACCGGAGGCGACGACGACGAGGGCCTCTCCCGAGGTCCGTATGCGACCCGCCGCTGCAATATCTACGCCCCCTTGCCACAAAGAGGCTCCGCCCAGCGCGAGATTCTCGTTCTCCGTCACCTTCCTCCTTCTCTTTATCGGTGTACAGAAGTTGGTACTCCAGGGTCTGGCTCTATCCTGAGCCATTATCTCCTTCTCCGTCTCGCCGTGTCCTAGCTCACTGGGCAAGAGAGACTCTTACATCTCTCCGACTTTCCGTCTTCTTTCGGACTCAATTCTTTCTGTACTCCTCTAGTACACGCGACCATGGCTTTTATACTTTTTCTTCTTCTGTTTGTTCTTAGCTGCATTCTCCTTATTCTTTTCTTTCATTTTCCTTCTGAATTTCCGAGAGGAAGAATATTCTCTCAATTTTGATAATCCTCATTTTTTAAATATACTTTCCTTATTTTACTCACCAATGCAGCTTCATTTGATTTCTACAATACTTCAAATCTTATACAGATCGTTTATTTGAAAGAGATCGAGTAAGAAGAAAAGAAGACATAGTGTAGGATTTGGTTCAGCTATTTTGTTTTATACGATGCTTCGGAATACCTCCAGTTCGTAAATAGTCAATTTATTTTTAATTTTACATTAAATTTTGCCACTATAAATAATACAGAACTTTTTCTATTTTATTCTAGTATTTTCTGTTTAATTATATTATATATATATATATATATATATATATATATATATGTATATATATACAAACTTTTCATTTTCATTATTTCATTTTTATTTTTATGTAATCTGATACAAAAATTAATCTACAATTCATATCAATATTACGAATAGCAATAATTTTCAAAACAATAGCTCTCAACAACTACAAGCTAATATTTATCAACAATTCTTTATTAAAAAAACTCATAGAAAGGTTTAAAATTATTTGATTATATTTCAAGAAAGATTAATTATTTTTGTCACACAAGGCTGTACATTATGTGTATAATTATTAGTTTCTATAATAGGAATTTGAATGAAAATGCATTGCTATTCAAATGATAACTCTAATATATAAGTTAATATGACATAATGTTGCAATACGCCTAGTGGAAAATACTTTGGAGTATTAACGAAAGTATTAATGAAATCTTTTAAATGGAGTGGAAAATATTCAAAATTATTTACAAGTAGTATTGTTTGATTTTATCCCAAATATAAGGCAGATGAATTATAAAGGTATTGAAGAAGCGGGGTTGTTTTGTTGATTTATTAGAGTAGGATTAATCGATTCTGAACCTTACACGAAAAGAGTAATGTTCTCTCTTAGCCTTGTTGAACCGCCATGTCATAGTAAAGAAGATTCCGCAGCCAGTGATGTACGTGGTGACTGCACAGGTAGTAGAAGCCTAGGGGTCCTGGCACATTGTTTATTGTCTTCGGCCGCTGCTGGCGTGTAGGCGGCAACCGTGCAAACCACCCCCGCCGACGATCCAATAGCAGGGGCGCCGGCGGGGGGAATGGGTGTCGAAGCGCCGGCCAATAGGGAGCCCGGCCAGACTACACCCGCGCGCAAATCACAATGCTTATTGTTGTGCGCTTTGTCGGCGTGGCGGCTCGCCACCGCCCACACCCTTTTGGCTGCGGCGTCGAGCAAACAGAAGAGAGAGAGAGATCGAGTGAAAAAGTACAAGCGTACGAGTGAGACGAAGGGGAGAATACGGAGATTTCTACTGTAAAATCTATAGTCTTCCCGTGACCTTGGCACACATAGTCTTTTTTATTTTATTGAGCTATTCGATTTTATTGTGACTACATCTATTTGTTGGTACTATTAATATTAAATATGCGCATTGATTTTAACTTTGAACCTGTGAATCCAGCTATCTGTTTTTGTACAGAAATGATATAGTATTTAACATATGTTGCTTTATACGCAACTATTAAATAGGAATTTTAGAAAATACACAACCAAGGAAATAATAATTAAGAATGAGTCCTTCATCAAATCTACGTGTTCAACGCGTTATCATTATAGTATTTGTTTTATAAAAAAGGTTGAAATTTTATACTTCTTTTGAATATATATAAAGATTAATGTAGTTATAATGATAATATTGAAAATTAATTGTAACAATAGTATATATCATTTTTATAAATAATAATCAATGTTTTGTGTCATATAAAAATATTCATTTAGTACATATTTAATTTCGTGTGTTAATTTTTCTTGTTTATTTAAAGAAAATAATTGATTTCATCGAACCGCCAAGTGTACATAATAAAAAAGTGTCTGTAATTTATATAAATCTTTTATAAGTCGTGTCTTTTATCTGTGCAATCATCAAAAAGAATACATAATTAAAACATAATAGTTATGATTATGAAAATAAAAATATATAAAGTATTATTTTCCTTTAACCTAAAAATGTATTTGAATATAAATTGTGTATAAATTTTAATAATTATAAGTTCAATTTGTGAGAAATTTAAACATTTATTTGTCTCTGTTCATCTTAATTTTACAATTATATTTAATTATGAGTTTATGTTTTTAAAAATTAAGTTTATTAAATTTATGTCATATGTTATATGTTAAAATAGTTTTAAAGGGTTAAATTTTTATATTTACTTACGTTTATTATGTATAGATGAATATCCATCCTTCAATTTTATGTTTTTATCAAAATTGTTTCAATATTATTATTGTAGAATACAATATTCATATTTAATATTATACTATTAATTAAGATATTTTAAATAGTTAACAATAATACTGGTTGATAATAAACATTGTTGAATGGTGAGCTACAAAATTGTTAAGTTTAGACTTTGAATTAAAATATATTGTATTGTTTATAAATCCATGTAACTAATGCTCATATGTTCAACGATTCAAATTAAGGAAAAATGAATTATTTTGTATTAGTTAATTAATTAATTTTTTAATAACTCACAACATTGCTTGTTATGAAGTTCTATATTAATGCATCAAGTAAGACTATTATTATACTATTTTTTTAATAACATTATCTGAGTATGAGGAATTCATACTAATTATTAGTATAATTAAACGATTCTATGGTAAATTTAATTTATTTAATTTTGAGCTGTTAATTACAAAATATAAATAATGTATTCCATTTTATTTTATACCAATTTCTGTTATTACTAATCTAATATGTATTACTATCAATACTGAAAAGATGTGAATTTCCTATTTATAATGAATTGTAATTCTATAAGAATTTATTCCATCTCATGCATATAAAAATATGCACACAAAGCGACTATTATTGACGTCAGTTTGTAACAAGCCAAGACAATCGATACATTGCGAAATGATCATTTTCAGTTTATGACACATTAAATCACTTTCTGAAATTTGTATATATTGTTTTTGCCATGTTTTGTAGAAATATGATACATAGTTATGTAGAAATATGAATTGAGAGGTAATACGCACAGTTAAAGAAGTTTAAAAATTAAATTGAGTATTTTAGAATTTTAATGAAGTCAAATGATTAAAACTAAATCGTATATCCATAATTAAATTCAGCTATTTCCATGTTATATTTTTTAGTTAATTGCAAAAAAAATGTTTTATTAAATTTTATTGTCGTGATAGAATGATTATTTATTTAATATTAATTTTAAACGTACTTATTGGAAATTACTTGAAATTATAATAATTTCTGGAACTTACTTCTAATATAAAAAATATAATTATTTATATAATGTAATGGTTATATGATAATCTTTAAATATATATTTTAAATAATAAATTTTATAGCTTGCAACATTGTCTTATTTTTATATTTAAACTCAACCATGAAACAAAAGGTGAAAAGCCAAACTACATATCTATTTTCCTGTGCAATGTGCAGTTTGACTCAGTTCATAGGCTATATAAGTACATTAATTTTTAAAAAATTCGTAATTTGAAAACTAGAATATATTTCTTAGTTATTATTCAATATTAAAAAATTATGTATACTGATTGGGGAAAAATTTTCTAATTAAAATACTTAACTTAAGATCGATTTGGAAATAATTAAATTTATCAATTATATGGTATCAATTACCGTCAAGGTGAACATCGATTTTACAAGTTTAAATTCATAATTGATATATCTAATTCTTGAATAAGATAAGAAGTGCATGCAAATAAGCATAGATGCAAACTTTTAAAGCTGCACCTATCTCTTTAGCGTAAATCTAAGTAGCTAATGCTCGAGATGTGATGATGATAATAATGATGAAGACAATAACGACGACGATGATAATGAACCGCACATCTAGACCATCAATTCTAAATGTTCAATTACAATGTTTTGCGTAAACATATGTAAAACTTGTGTTAGACATTTTTACGTAATTTAAGTATTCAAGCATTTACACGCATACATTGTGTAAATATTCAAATGTTACATAATGACAGTTATGAGCACACTTGTATAAGATATGTGACGATATTTTATATTAAAATTTGTTTATTATTAATGATAATATATAATTACAGCTAATACTTTGTGTATACTTCTTATTATAAAATCGATATAACGGACTCCACATTCTTGTGTACAATAAATATAGTTTTTCGATTACGTATATGAACA